GACAGGGTTCATATATTTTTTTCCTGAAAAAGACACTTAGGGCTGTTATTTTCAGGGGGATGGGTTATTTTTTTAAGTGACGGCTACAACAATCTACATTATTAAAATATAGTTAAGTCGTCTTTCTTCATAAACCATCATCATTAACTCTCCGAAACCCTTGAATTCCATCCTGAATTTCTTGCGAACACTATTTGCCTTTAGAAAACACTGGCCCCCAATTCCTCTCATGTCGAGCAATTAGCAGCTTTCTCATGGGCAGATGAGAAGAACTGCCTCATTCTTCTTCTACCGCTCCACGGACGACACTTGCCATGGGGGGGGTTGCGCAGATATGCCTTGTGAGCCACGGGCCCATGTCACTAGGGTCTTATTTCACTCAAGGTAGCTGCTATATTTGCAAATAATGGCTTAAAAAATCCTGTGCTACGGCTTTTTTAGGTAGGTCTTATCTTCCGGGAACAGTAGAAAGATTATAAAGAACACTAAAGCTATCAGAATACGAGGCACTTAACTATAAAAATGATAGCTGATTCAAACCTAACATTTTAGATTTAACTCAATATAAAAGGGTAAGGAATAAAGAAGACACTTCCAGTAGCTAAACTCTATGAATATGCACATGAAAAAAGAAAATCATATCCTTCCCAAACTGGTCCATATAATAGCTTCTAGTAAAATATGACAGAAGTCAACATTAGTCCTAACAAACTTTAGTTTGACACGTTGCCAGCATTTCTTTCCTTTACCAGGATAAGACAATTTAATTATAATTATTGTGCTGGTTACCACTTCGAGAGAATCCAATTAATTGTCACCACTTATTTCAAAGTAAATCATGAAAGGTATGGAGCGGAGAAACTGGCTATAAATAAGCCCCTAAGGAAAGGAAATTTAAAAAAATACAGATTTCCTAGGCCCCACTCCAGGACCTAATAAATCAAAATGTCTGGGCTAATGTCCAATAATCCTTATATTTTCTTAAAAGCCCAGTAGACAGCAATTTGGGAACTATCACAGGGAAGTTAAAAAGTCAAACAAACAGAAGTGCAACTAGCATTGATCTTGGAGTACAAGATTATGGGACTTGGTCACCGGTAATCCTAGCACTCTGGGAGGCTGAGGCTCGGGAGTGCTCAAGGTCAGAAGTTTTGAACCAGCCTAAGCAAGAGCGAGACCACTATAAATAGAAAGAAACTAACTGGCCAACTAATATATATAGAAAAAATTAGCCAGGTATGGTGGCACATGCCTGTAGCCCTAGCTACTTGGGAGCTGAGGCAGGAAGCTAGGCTGATACCATGGCACTCACTCTAGCCTGGGGAACAAAGTGAGACTCTGTCTCAAAAAAAAAAAAAAAGATTACGCGATTTACTTATAATCTATTAGGACTCAGAGCCTTTTACTGTACACTTACATTTCAAAGGACATGATTCTACCCAAAAATATACTTGAATATTTGCATTAATTCATGATACTAAACATATAATACTGTACTTATATCACATTTAAGAAATCTTTTATTGATTAATTCTAGCTGCTCGTGTACGACACAGATTATATCATATGGGATATATACACACACTAGTAACCTTATACAACATTTAGCATGGTGACTGACAATCCAGCTCCAAATAGTTTTCAAATAAACAAGTACAAGTAATCTAATAACTATTCACTGACACCCATGTTATGTGACAGGCACTGTTCTGGTGCTTGTGAATAAGCAAGAACAAGACTTATTCTCACAATACTTATTAGCTGGGATATCATCACTAAACAGGTTGCTATGGAAGTACTCACCCCTTTACATCATTTTCCTTACTTACTTTTAGATGTGAAAATTCTGCTTCATCCTTCGTTGGGGCATTATAGGAGTCTGAATCCCTTTAAATTCCAGTTTTCATTTTATATGGAGAAAATGTACAACAAGCAGCCTCTTTACTATTTCAAGCAATTGGAAAATCCCAGAATCCACATTTTCCATTGGGCTGAGACTTTCCAATATGCCTAATAATGATACTTGATGACCTAGAAGTTCCAATGAATTGGTAGTAAGAAAACATTGATCGTGCTTCAGTGGCACTGTTAATTGGAACGGTGATTAAATGCATCATGTTAAATTTACCCTATGGCCTTTCCAGTGTGGCAAATATAAAATGAGCTATCAGTATCAGCAGAGCCTAAACCCTATTTCCTTTCTAAAATGATACTTTTCCTGCATGTCAAAGGTGATATGTTTGAGCTTCCCCATTAATATTTAGGTGGCATAACATGACAAACTATATTACTCCCATATAGGCTTCACTAGGATTACACTGCCCAACATGGCTTATTCTATTTAGGAACTTGGAACAAACTTACGTATGTCAGAGCAGCACATTGCACCACTATAGTTAATGGTCTGTCAGCATTTCCATTATAAAGCAATTTTCAAAGGTTTTTGCTCTGCTGAAGAATTTGCTCTGAGCTAAAATTTGGCATTGCAGAAAAGCAAAAAACTGTAGCCTGTAGTTGTTTATCCTTTCCAAGTAGCCAAGTAGTTTGTTTTTTTAAAGTTAATCTGGTCCTTTATTCAGAATTTCCTCATATAGCCCCTTGGGAATATCCACAGAACAAAAACTTCACACCTCACAAAGGGACTATTGTTTGGTAATAGCAGCTAGCAACTTGCAAGGTACAAAGCATAGATTCCAACTTATTTATGGAAAATAATTTTTAAAAGCAAGCATATTTTCATGAACTGCAAGTTTAAAAACTTTTCATCAGTTCTTCCTTAGTTGTGATTAAATCATTCACGATATTAGCATGCTCTGCCACTGATATTAAAATCAATGGATGACTTAAAACTTCTCATCAATGGTTAAACTTCCTTCCCACCCAAGAACCACAGACTAATGACCTAATATGAATGTCATCTATTCTCAACTCCATCTTACTCCACTAGCTAAAGGGAGTAAATACTATAAATAAAAGCTAAGTAGCGAGCCAGGCGTGGTGGCTCACGCCTGTAATCCTAGCACTCTGGGAGCCGAGGCAGGAGGATTGCTCAAGGTCAGGAGTTCGAAACCAGCCTGAGCAAGAGGGAGACCCCGTCTCTACTATAAATACAAAGAAATTAATTGGCCAACTAATATATATAGAAAAAATTAGCCGGGCATGGTGGCATGCCTGTAGTCCCAGCTACTCGGGAGGCTGAGGCAGCAGGATTGCCTGAGCCCAGGAGTTTGAGGTTGCTGTGAGCTAGGCTGACACCATGGCACTCACGCTAGCCTGCGCAACAAATCGAGACTCTGTCTCAAAAAAAAAAAAAAGCTAAGTAGCAATAAAGGTTATACAGTGGGTAAGAAAAGCTTTGAAAATAATTTAGAAGTTCAAAAAATAAATGATCTACTAGTGAATGACAAAGTTCACAGAAAACAAATGTGGTAATCTAAAAGATTGGTATATTAGTAATAAACTAACAATTTTATTCCATCTCTGGAAACCATTCTAAGCTGAAAGCTTGCCAGAATATTCCATGCATCATACAAATTAGAAATCAACTATTCCAGTATTTTGTTTTCTTATTATTGAACCTAACTTGAAAGCTTAAATATTTATACTTCAAACAGAGTTTTTCAATTATATAGCTAATTATAATTCTACTACAACTCTACCCAATAAATAAATGAGATATAACATAAGAACAATTTTCTTAACTTAAAAATTCTCATTATGTACAAATTAAGACCCTCTAAAAGTGTGGAGTCTGGTAAGCAAAGTAATCTTGTTTAAATGAATATTTCTGAGATCCATCTCGAATTAATGCATAAATACAGCTTGATATGCTTTGCTAATTTTCCAACTTTATATTGGCTTAAAATATTACTATTTAAAACCATCTATGAAACTACTCCCAAACTAAATAACACAGAATAATGTTTGTAAAACGTTAAGTAAACACTATCTAAGCCAAGCACAGAGGTTGGAACCTGTACTCCCAGCTATTTGTGAGGTGGCTGAGGTAGGAGGGAGGGTCTCTTGAGTCCAGAAGCTCAAGGCCAGCCTGGGCATTATAGCAAGACCAAGTCTCTTTAAAAAAAAGAAGAAGAAGAAGAAGAAGGTAGAAGAAAGAAGAAGAAAGAGAAACTTGCTATTGGAACTCTACCTAAAAAGGGAAAGTCTATATTCAATTAAAATTATTTTTTTAAAAAGGAATCTAATTCATGATTATAGCTCTTTGAAATATGGACATGAATGCACCACACAAGGACTAGAAGAGTCTAACAAATATTAAAAGATATGGACAGGGGCCGGGTGTGGTGGCTTACACCTGTAATCCTAGCACTCTGGGAGTCCAAGGGAAGACGACTGCTTGAGGCCAGGAATTCGAGACAGCCTGAGCAAGAGCAAGACGCCCTCCCTGCAAAAAATAGAAAACTTAGCCAGGCATGGTGGTGTGTGCCTGTAGTCCTGGCTATTAGGGAGGCTGAGGCAGGATGATTGCTTGAGCCCAGGAGTTTGAGGTTTCTGTGAGCTACAAGGATACCATTGCACTCCAGCCTGGGTGACAGAATAAGACTCTATCTCTTAAAAAAATATATATGAACAAAATTTTGTTTTATGATTTTTATTAATGTTATATTCTTTTTATAACAAATATTTTATATTCAGATTCTAAATTAACCCTACCTTTACCTTTGGCAGGCATTAGCTGTAACTTCCAAATTTACAAACATAAAAGCTGAATAAAGCTGAATTCAAAAGCAGATTTACCAGAGGATACTCAACACACTAGCAGAATATTTAAGATTAACCCTAAAAGCTACAACTGTTAAAAGCTAATTGGTTTGATGTACAGAATGAGAGATCCAGGTAAGGAATTAAAGTACTTTTATTTTTTGCAATTTTCTTAAAGGTCCCAGCTAGAAGGTCCCTACAGTACACTTAACCGAAGGACTTATGAATCCTTTTGGCTTTTGTAATAGAAACCTCACGTCTCTGAACTGGTGGTTCAGATGCAGGTAATAAAGAGATGTAGCAACCTTAGCATGACAGTGAGCATTAAACCTTCACTCAGCTTCACTGCTTATATTCAAAAGGTTGAAGCTTCTCTAAATGGTTTGACTGAAACACATTGGAAGGTAGTTATAGATGATTTCATTTTGATGTTAAAATATGGCCTTGTGCACCCTCTCCTTCTCATTCCCCTCTTCCCTCTCATTTCCTCCCCCTTATGTCCCTCCCCATCCCTTTGTCTTCCTCCTCTCCCTCTACCTATTCTGTAGTAATTCATTATTATTATAGTTAATTGCTTACCTTTTAATGTTAGCTTCTTGGCCAGTTTAATATTGAAAAATGTTTTCACTTCGTGTGGTCAAAAGAATCTCTTTCTTGATCGGTATGTTAAGTAGTTTTCTCATAAGTAAAAAACCAAATTTATCATAATCCTAATTGAGCAGTATTCCTTACATTTTAGTTGACAAAGAGATGTTGCCAAAAAATAAGAGAGAAATCTATTTTACAAGCACAAGAGAGAGCAAAAGAAGCCATAGAAGCAAAAGCTGCAGCAAAGCGGGAAGATCAAAAATATGCGTTAGATGCCATGATGAAGATTGAAGAAGAAGAGAGGAAAAAAATAGAAGATATGAAAGAAAACGAACGGATAAAAGCCACTAAAGAATTGGAAGCTTGGAAAGAATGTCAAAGAAAAGTTGAAGAACAAAAAAGAATTCGGAGAGAGGAGAAATTACGTCAAAAAGAAAAGCAAATTGAAGAAGAAAGAAAAAATTTAAAACATAAAAGTCTTCCTAGAAATTCATCTAGATATCTTGCCACAAAAGGGAGAAATTTAGAAAATATATTTTCTGAGAAATTAAAGGAAGATAGTATTCCTGCTCCTCACTCTGTTGGCAGTATTAAAATCAACTTTACCCCTCGAGTATTCCCAACTGCTCTCCGTGAATCACAAGTAGCAGAAGAGGAAGAGTGGCTACACAAACAAGCTGAGGCACAAAGAGCAATGAATACTGATATTCCTCAACTTTCTGATTTAAAAGAAGAAGAAAAGAACCCAGAGTGGTTAAAGGACAAAGGAAACAAGTTGTTTACAACAGAAAACTATTTGGCAGCTATTAATGCATACAACTTAGCCATAGACTAAATAATAAGATTCCACCATTGTATTTGAATCGGGCCGCTTGCCACCTAAAACTAAAAAACTTACACAAGGCTATCGAAGATTCTTCTAAAGCACTGGAATTATTGACACCACCTGTTGCAGACAATGCTAATGCAAGAATGAAGGCACATGTACGACGTGGAACAGCATTCTGTCAACTAGAATTGTATGTAGAAGGCCTACAGGATTATGAAGCTGCACTTAAGATTGATCCATCAAACAAAATTATACAAAATGATGCTGAGGAGATTCGGAATGTAATTCAAGGAACAGAACTAAAATCTTAGAGACTACTGGAAGCAACTAGGTATTGTATTAGGTATTGTTTTAAGTTTTTCAAAAATAATGGGAGGCATTAGGAATCTTTGTCTATGCTATAATCAATTGTGCAGAATCGATTTCTTTTTATTATTTGAGTTCTGTATAGGGCAAAATATAAATCTATAGGAAATGAAATGTTTGACTCTAATTATTTCTGAATAACAAAATCAAAATAAGAATAATCAATTTTAATTCTATACTTCTTAATGCATAATAGAATTATACATTTTTTTTGTTACTGAATTATACTTGCCCTTGTAATAAAATATTTGTTCTAAGTTACCAAAAAAAAAAAAAAAATATGGCCTTGTTAATGATTTAAAATAACAGCAAAGGGTTTTCACCAGATTTTATAACTTTTCATCTCCTATCCTATTGCCATTCAAATTCCCCTGTTTTCTCAGGATGACCTTTTCCTTCGTATGCTATTAATAGGAAAATACAATTATAGAACCACTTGCCATTTTAGAGTAAGAAGGCCCTGGCCACAGTGCTACAACCAGAATGAACTGCTAGAAAGTGAGGCAGCTGGTTATCTACTCCCTCATCTCTAATACCACATTAACCTTTCTTTCAATAAAATTTATCCTAATAAATATATCATATGTTAAACATTCAACAGGCACAAAAGTATGGAAAGTATACTTCATTCTCACCCCTGTCTGCCAGGTACCAGTTCCCCCCTATTAGAAGCAACTACTAGTTTCTTTTTGATCCTTCCCTGTGGCACCATCCTGTTTTAAACCATATCCCCAATCCTCTAAATCTCAGCACTCCCAAGCCTGCCTGTGTGCTTTATTTTTCTCACTAGCATTGATCACCAACAGACTTCCAATATATTTTCATTATTTACCTTTATTACACATTATTTCACTATTTACATATAGATCAATCATTTCATTCTTGTCCTACCCCCCTCTGCAATAAGAATAAAAACTCCATGAAGAATTCTGTTCACTGCTGTATTTCCAGAGCATGGAACACTGCCTGGAACACAATGGACCTTTGACAAGTATTTGTTGAATGAGTTAATAATAACCCATATTACAAATACTGGTAACAAGTAAGTTATCTATTCTTTACAAAATACTAATGCTAGGCTGGACTTAGTGTCTCATGCCTGTAATCCTAGCACTTTGGAAGGCCGAGGGAGAGGGGAAGGAACACTTGATGCAAGGAGTTCCAGACCAGCCTAAGCAAAAACGAGACCACCTCTACAAAAAATAGAAAACTTAGCCAGGCGTGGTGGTACATGCCTATAGTCCCAGCTACTCCATAGACTGGCATGAGGATTGCTTGAGTCCAGGAGTTTGAGGTTGCTGGGAGCTATGATGATGCCACTGGACTCCAGCCTGGATAACAGAATGAGCTCAAAATATAATAATAATAACTAAAAATTAAAAACCACAACTAATGCTTTTCCAAAAAAGCAGTGGAGGGGGAACCCTACAGAACTAGCAAACTCTACCTAGGGAACTAAGTCAGTTTAAAAGTAACGAAAATTACAACCGTTCAATATTACCCATTGTTTGAGACTGTAAAGTTTACACTGAATTTCTACACAAAAAGAAGTCTGCTAAAACACCACTTGTAAAATTACTTTCCCCTGGGATTTTCTTGAAAATGAGATGCCTACTGCAAGTCTATGCCAAGAAAGTAAAAACAAACATTTTCAAAAAATTTTTTGAGAGATAAGGTCTTGTTCTGTTGCCTACACTGGAATGCAGTGGCATGATCATAGCTTACTGCAGCCGTAAACTCCTGGCCTCAAGCAATTCTCCTGCCACAGCCTCCCAAAGTGCTGGGATCATAGCCGTAAACCACTGTGCCCAGCCCAAGGGGGTAAAATTTTGAATGGTAATTTGTAATCTCAGGAGTCCTGAAAAGGTAGCTTGTTATATAATTTTTTCAGAGCAAAGTATAAAGAAGTTATAAATGAAAACATTAAGTATGGGAAGAAATTCCCACACATATGCAGAAAGACATATATTACAAGGATTTCTGCAGCACTGTTTAAAATAGTTACGTAACCAAATAAATAATAGTTAAGATTGGCAACAACTTGAATGTCCATAAAAAGAGACTAATTAAAGTATGATGAACCTATTGAGTATAATATAAAGCCAGCCAAAAGAATGATATAATTCTATACATGCTCATATGGAACAATCTATAAAACACATCACAAGAAGCTCTATGAACAGTATGTATAGTGCATACGCAAACATGTATCATTTAAATGTATAACTGTTAATGTATAATATGGAAGGATACCCCCCCAATCAAAAACACCCTAGTAATAGAAGCTGCCTCAGGATAAATGAACTGCAAACTGTAGAAAATTTTACTTTTCAGTGTGAACCATTTTGAATTGTTTAAATTTTTAACATGTGCATGTATTATGTTTTCAAAACAGAAAGGGAAATTACATAATGGTAAAGAAATTTTATTTGAAATATGTAAGCAATAGGCATCTCCAGTGTCTAAGACATAAGGGTTAAAATTAGATCAATCTCATTTACAGCATACTTATTTCAAATATTAATTTACATATTCAATTTAAATCCAAATATATATCTAAACTGGACAGATGAGCAATAGTTTGGATCATTAAAGTATTCATGCCACCTCAGAAAATCATAACACAAATATAAATAGTAATACAATGAGCTAACTCTAATCCTCATCAGAATAGCTAAATTTAAAAGACTAACAACAGCAAGCTAACATTACATTTAGTGACAAAATACTGTACACTTTTCCTTCGATGCCAGGAAAAATAGAAGAATGTACACTATTATCACATTTACTCAACATTATATCAGAGATCCTACCAGATGAAATTAAGCAAGAAAAATCAAATAAGAATCATAAAGCTTAGAAATGAAGAAGTAAACCTGTCGTTATTCATACATGACATGATTGGATACCATGCAAAGGAATCTATAAATTATTAGAATTTAGCAAGCTCAATAACCATAAGATCAACATACAAAAATTATTGAGGTTTTTTTTGTTTTTTGTTTTTTAGTGATAGGTTCTTGCTCTGTCACCCAGGCTGGATTATAGTGGAGCCATCATAGCTCACTGCAGCCCCAAGTAGCTGGGACTATAGGCACATGCTACCATGCCCCACTAATTTTCTTTTCTTTTAGAGATGGGGTCTCACTGTGTTGCCCAGGCTGGTTTTGAACTCTTGGCCTCAAGTGATCCTCCCACCTTAGCCTCCAAAGTTGCTAGCATTACAGACATAACAACCACACCCAGCTCAAAAATTAATTTTATTTCTACATTCAAAGCAACAAACAAGTAAAAAATGAAATTTAAATCATAGTATTTACCATGGCACCTAAAAAGACATCAAATACCAAGAAATAAATCTAAAAGATGTACAGGGCTGCTACACTGAAAACTACAAAACATTTCTGAGGTAAATTAAAGATTACATAAATGAAAGTATATATACTATGTTCACAGTTGGAAGGCTCAATATTATAAAGTGCCAGTTCTCCCCAAATTAATATGCATACAATAGAATAGATACAATAGAATTTTGATCAAAACCCCAAAGCAGTTTCTTTTTAACTTAAATTGACAGGCTGACTCTAAAATTTATATGGAAATGCAAAGGATGAAGATTAGGTAAGACAATGAAGAACAATAATTAAGCTGGAGGACCTACACCACCAAATACCAAGACTTACCTGAAAAGTTACAGCAATAAAGACGGTATATCACTGGTGCAAAAATGGGCAAACAGATCAATGGAACAGAACATAGAGCCCATAAACAGACCCACACATGACTTAAGGCAAACACCACTACAGCACCCATAAACAGACCCACACATGACTTAAGGCAAACACCACTATAGCAAATCGCTGGAGGAAATGGTCTTTTCAATAAATAGTGTGCTGGGTCAACCAGATATTCACATGAAAAAAATGTACTTTCAGAATTACTTCACATCACATGTAAATGTATATGGTAGACCAAGATGTGCAATATAAAACAATAAAGCTACAAGAATGAAAATATACAATGGTTTTATAACTTTAGAATAGGCAAAGGTTTCGTGAACACAAAGAGCACTAATCACATAGAAAACTAATAAATTGTACTTAATTAAAATAGAGAAAACTTCAGTTCATCAAAAGATAACACTAAGGGAATAAAAAAGTCAACTACAGATTAGGAGAAGATAGCTGTAATACATATATATGACAAGAGTGTGTGTGTGTGTGTGTGTGTGTGTGTGTGTGTGTGTGTGTGTGTGTGTAAAATATATAAAGAACTCATAAATCATAAGAAGACTGACATCCAATTTAAGCTGTACAAAAGACTTGAACAGGCACTTCAAAAATAAGGACATCTATGTTGTTAAGAAAGCAAATGGAAAACATCTCAACATCGTTAGATATCAGACAATGCAAATGAAAATCAAAATGTCATGCCAATATACCTCCACCAATGGCTAAATTTTAAAAGACTGAAAATATCCAAATGTTGGCAAAGGCGTGGAATGCTGAAATACTAATATACTGATTCTGGAAGAGTAAGCTGGTATAGGTACTATACCAAAAGCTAAGCATTCATAACCTACGACTGACTCATCAACTCCTTTTCTATGGATATACCCATGAGAAATGAGACTGTAATTCTTCTAAGAGATATCTAAAGCAACATTCACAGCAGCACTATTCCTAACAAAGACTAAAAATAACCCAAATAACAGAATATCAATATATAAACTGTTTTATATTCACACAATGGGATGAGAACTACTACTACAAGCAACAACAAACATGAACCTTACAGACATAATGCTGAGCAAAATAAACCAGACACAAAGAAGTACCTATGATTCTAGTTATATGATGTTCAAAACAGGTAAAATTAAATCTGTGGTGACAGAGAGCAAAATAATAATTACCTACAGAGTTCTGATGAGAGGAGACCAAGAAGGAGCCTATGGAAGTGACAGAAATTTTTTTAATCTTGCTCTAGCTGGTGATTACACAAATATATATAGATAAAAATATACAGTTATGAAAATTAAGTTGTAAATTTTTTAATGTCATTCATTTTACTATATGTATGTCATATCTAAATTTAAAAAGAGGATCCTATGAACAATATCATGCCAATAAATTTAACATGTAGATAAACTTCTAGGAAAAAAAACTTATCAAAACTAAGAATAAACAGAAAATCTAACCAATCCTATAATGAAGAAGAAAATAAACCCAAAATTTAAACCTTGTTTAGAAATG